CTAGTGAGATTATCGCTTTGCTTCAGGTGAAATAATAATAAAAAAAACACTATGATAAACACCTCGTTCAATAAAGCTCTATCTTGAGTGTTCACGAGTCTTGTATTGAGTGAATTCTAGTGTTTAAAGAATATTATTATTAGTGCTATTGTCTTTTCATCCTCTTTGTCTAACCTATTTTTTATGCAAATACATGAATAACATTCCCGGTAGCATTTTATCAAGAAAGAAAGAAAGGAAGAAGAAAAAGAAAAAATCTTGGTGTAATTTCCAGATTTTCATACTTCATGAAAAAATATAAAAGTTGCTTTCTTGGTGTTATTTATTTATTTATTTATTGCCGTTTTCTCCTTAACTGTAAGAAAGAAAAAAAAATGATTCATCTATTATTTCAATTCGTTCATAATTTCGTGTTTTTTTCATTAATACTATTAGCATTACGAAATATTTTTTTAAAAAGACGACTTAAAAAAAGAAAGAAAGTCACTTTGCCAAACATCGAGATAAAAAAAAACTCCAGTTTTCATAAACGCACATACATAATGGTCAGTTAGAAGTAAATCCATAATATATATACAATTTCGTCTATAGAAACAAGCTGGCATATTTATGGTGGTATACATCTGCCTAAGAAATTCGTTTTAAATACGTTTCATCAATGCTATTATGTAATGCTTTTCAACCAACGGTTGTCGTGCTGACGTCCATTAAACAGCGCATGCGCGCGTTTGTGTTGTCTTTTTTTTTTTAACCTTTTCTTAATGCTTTTAATGTACTGTTTCTCCATTTGAATTGCAACTCGAGATTTGTATGGAGGAGCGTTGGGATTATATTTGAACAAAAAATAAATAAATAAAAATAAATGAAAGATAAAACATTCTAGGCTTTCAAAATATCAAACGTCATTTGATTCGCTAAAAGATGTGCTGCTCGAAATTAATGTATGAAAAAGTCTGAGAACTTTTGGGGAACTTTTAATGCAAGGAAAACTATTGAGTCACTGTGTATGGCTTAGGCGGGAAAATCATGAAAATCATAAAATAAGAAAGAATTTTGAATTCTCAATTGTTCTGGAAGGGAAGGAAAGTATATCTACAGTAGGCCGTTGCATATTCCATTTTGAAATTTCTAGAGTTGCGTTAGCGAATTTTGCAATATAATCAATCACTGTTGTGTTATTTAATATCGAAATCTGTTAGTTTTTTTATTATTATTATTATATTTGACTCTATGCATAAACACAAATCAGGTGCATATTTGAGATTAAAAGATAAACATTGTTCGAATTTATATTTGAGTCTATGGATAACTACTGGGCTTATACTTTTTTTTATGCTTAAAAATTGATGGGTTTATGATTTAATATATACGTAAACACAGGCCGGGTATATGTTTAGCACCCCGCTACCACTTTTTTACCAATCTCAATTTTTGTGCAAGAATCGGATCACAGAGCTTACTCAGCTTCATAGATATTTTCAGGAAATTTCAACTTCTGATTGGTCACTTAATATTTAAATCATGTCCGAATAACATCGACCTAGTTCTTGACCTGACAAAAAAAAAAAAAAAAAAAAATCCGCCCAAATCTGTCAATGCTTTTTTGATCCTGTCACGTGATTACGTTGATTATAAATATCAGGCCCAAATTTGTTCTTCCTCTTCCCTGACTTCTCTCGCTACAAAATGTACTCGTAAAAAAAAATGATTCGCGTCTTGACCAAGTGCAGTCAGACGCTATGAAAACATATTCACACACATTCACGTAAGTACGAAACTTTCCAAATTTAATTACAAACATTACGGAACATTCACCTCTTCTAAAGCTAAAGGTTTATTCAACATATTCTCAGCTTTATAATTCTTTCAACTCTCTAACAGTGAACATTTTGAGCGACAAGTTCAACTTTTGTGAGCTCGGATAAAAATATTTCAATTTCATTGGTAAAAACTTTAATTCAGTCAAAGGGTAATAACACCAACAAAAAATAGTAAGCTCTTTGCTTGTACATCATTATACAATTACAGGCTGTCCAAAAAGTTCGTGTGCACTTTAAAAAATTTATACCTTTATTTGTATTTGCGATAGAAATAATCTGTAAAAATGTTATACAGTTTAATGTATCTAGTTTTAAGTATAGCTAAAATAACTAAAGTGATTTCAGGAATTACTGTAAATCAATTGGTAAATATTTTCCGTGAACTGCAAAATCGTATTACCCTTTGTATTGCTAATGATGGAGGACGTGTGGAAACTTAAATAAAATTTCAATAAAACCTTAAAAAATTTAGATTTACTTCTTTCTAATCCTTTTTACAAATTACTTCTATCGCAAATACAAATAAAGTTATAAATTTACCGGAAATTTTGTAAAGTGCACACTAACTTTATGGACCCCTGTATAACTATAAACCTTGTTGTTATAAAACCATTTCGTGTTTATTCGTGATGTTTCATATTTTATGATATTTTTGCGTTAAATATAAATTGAGAGGATATATGAACTAACCGCCCTTTACAAATGGTAACCCCGACTTTTCATAAGGAATAAGAATAAAAATATCTTCTACAAATGGTAACCTCGACGTTTCAAAAGGAATAAAAAAAAAAGAAGTCTTTTTCATATGTTTGGGACTATAGATCAGTGGTTCTCCAACTTTTTCAAGTCGGGCGCGCTTGAAATCCTACCAATAATTGTAGGCGCACTATATACAAATTTCGGAAAAATATGTTATAATGAAGTCAAATATTGTAGAAAAGAAATAATGCAATAAAAAAATATAAAATGAAACATATATTAAGTTTATTCATTCTTGTGTTTATGACAAACATGAGCCTGATGAGTCTTAGCAATTTCTTCAATATTTGGGCGTATATTTGATAGGCAAATTCTTATTTCCTCCTCAATACATTGAAGAGTTCCTCTCTTTTTGCACTCTGCGTGGTGTGAGCAGAAAAGCCTAATTCATATATCTATATCTATAATTTTCAAAATCATGTATGTATGTGTGTGTATGTGATCAGATGTTGTTTATGGGTTTCCACAGTTTTCATCCGATTTCGATGAAATTTTTTTGTTTAGTAGATAATTCTCCAGTGCCGGTTTTGAGTCAAAATTGTTGGCGACAATGGCTCTTCACTACTTCCAGTTCATTATAACTCTCAGCAACGTTTTACTATTTAGTGTCTGTTCTTGGATATATATCTTTCATAAAAATTTTTAATAAAAATAAATAGTTTAAATTATTACAATATTATTATTTATTATTATACACTTAAATTTATATAATTACTTATATTAATTATATAAATTATAAATAATTATTATTAATATTATAATTAATATAATCATAAATAATAATTAATTGTAATTATAATTACAATTAATTATAATTAATTAATTTATCAGAAGAGAACCTGAAAATGTAATCTATATCTATAATTCTCAAAATCCTTGTGTGTATGTATATATATATATATATATATATATATATATATATATGTGTGTGTGTGTGTGTGTATGTATGTGTGTATGTATGTGCGTGTGTGTGTGATTGGATGTTGCTTTTATGCGTTTCCACAATTTTCATCCGATTTCGATGTAATTTTTTTATTTAAAAGATAATTCTTCAGTGCCAGTTTTGAGTCCAAATTGTTGGCGACAATGGCTCTCCACTACTTCCTGACCATTATAACACTCAGCTACCTTTTATTATTTACAATCTGTTCTTGGATATAGATCTATCATAAAACCTTTAATAAAAATTAATAGTTTAAATTACTACAATAATATTAGTTATTATTATACAGTTAAATTTATGTAATTAATTATATTAATTATATTAATTACAAATAATTATTTTTAATATTATAATTATTATAATTATAAATAATAATTAATTATAATGCCGGCCTCCTTCGTAAGATTAAGGGATACGGAATTTCAGGTCGATTATTTGACCTAATACGATAATTCCTGTCAAACCGTGTAATGAAGGTCGTCCTTAACGGATTTTCCTCCAGTACCTTTCCCACGAATGTAGGTGTTTCCAAGGCTCTATCCTGGGCCCTACTCTGTTCCTTATCTTCATTAACGATCTCCCCGATGTCATCAATTCCCAAGTAGGCATCTACGCGGACGAAACTACTATTTACTCCTGCCTCAATAGTAAATCCGGTATCGTTGACAAAACTAACCTGGCCGCTGGTCTCGAAAAAGACCTCCAATCTATGGTTGACTGGGGCAAGAAATGTTTGGTTAACTTTAATGCCACTAAAACAAAACTGCTCTATAACTCACCACAAGGAACCATCCCTGCCACCCATTAGAATGTCTAATGCACAACTCCACGAGAGCACCTCTTTGCGACTGCTTGGTCTCACACTGTCCGCTGACCTGAGAGGAAATAATTACATTGAATCAATTGCTTTATCCACCGCAAGGAAAGTTGGTTCCCTGTGTCGCGCCAAAAAGTTCTTCTCGCCCGAGTCCATCCTTCAAATCTATAAATCAACCATTCCCCCTTGCATGGAATATTGCTGCCATATATGGTCTGGTGCCCCCGCTGTTCGCCTTAAGGTCCTCGACAAGATCCAGAGACGGATAAGCAATGTGGTTGGTCCTGATTTGGCATCTCGTCTTCAGTTGCTCTCTCACAGACGTGCCGCCGCCTCCCTCTGTCTTTTCTACTTTCACGGTAACTGCTCCGACGAGCTACAATCGCTTGTTCCCAGACTGCATGAATTTAAGCGTGCTACGAGGTTGGCATCACGGTCCCACCCTTTCACTGTCGAAAGGGTTAAGTGGGGCAATCTCTTCTACTCCAATAGCGTCATGTCTCGCACCTCCCGTCTGTGGAATTTCCTTGCTATTACTTGTTTCCCTGATAGCTATAATCTCCAACTATTCCAATGTAATGTCAATCGACATCTCCAGATGCCCTGACCTATTCCCTGTCCTTCTCTTCATCCTTTCCTTCATCACGCCTCTTTACTCTCGCTAGAAGGGTGGCAGGATAGTAGAGAGTAGAAAGGTGACGGGAAAACAGAGAGTAGAAGGGTGACAGGGAAATAGAGAGGAGAAGAGTGACAGGAAAATAGAGAATAGAAGGGTGACAGAAAAAAGAGAGTAGAAAGGCGACAGGAAAATACAGAGTAGAAAGGTGACAGGGAAACAGAGGTAAAAGACAGAAAATAGAGAGTAGAAAGGTGACAGGGAAACAGAGAGTAGAAGGGAGACAGGAAAATAGAGAGTAGAAAGGTGACAGGAAAATAGAGAGGAGAAGGGAGACAGGAAAATAGAGAGGAGAGGGAGAGAGGAAAATAGAGAGGAGAAGGGAGACAGGAAAATAGAGAGGAGAAAGGTGACAGGAAAATAGAGAGGAGAGGGGAGAGAGGAAAATAGAGAGGAGAAGGGAGACAGGAAAATAGAGAGGAGAAAGGTGACAGGAAAATAGAGAGGAGAGGGGAGAGAGGAAAATAGAGAGGAGAAGGGAGACAGGAAAATAGAGAGGAGAAGGGAGACAAGAAAAATGAGGATAGAAGGGTGACAGGATAGTAGAGAGTAGAAAGGTGACAGGGAAACAGAGAGTAGAAGGGAGACAGGAAAATAGAGAGTAGAAAGGTGACAGGAAAACAGAGAGTAGAAGGGAAAAAGGAAAATAGAGACTAGAAACGTGACAGGAAAATAGAGAGGAGAAGGGAGACAGGAAAATAGAGAGTAGAAAGGTGACAGGAAAACAGAGAGTAGAAGGGAGACAGGAAAATAGAGAGGAGAAGGTAGACAGGAAAATAGAGGATAGAAGGGTGGCAGGATAGTAGAGAGTAGAAAGGTGACGGGAAAACAGAGAGTAGAAGGGTGACAGGGAAATAGAGAGGAGAAGAGTGACAGGAAAATAGAGAATAGAAGGGTGACAGAAAAAAGAGAGTAGAAAGGCGACAGGAAAATACAGAGTAGAAAGGTGACAGGGAAACAGAGAGTAGAAGGGAGACAGGAAAATAGAGAGTAGAAATGTGACAGGGAAACAGAGAGTAGAAGGGAGACAGGAAAATAGAGAGTAGAAATGTGACAGGGAAACAGAGAGTAGAAGGGAGACAGGAAAATAGAGACTAGAAACGTGACAGGGAAACAGAGAGTAGAAGGGAGACAGGAAAATAGAGAGTAGAAAGGTGACAGGAAAATAGAGAGGAGAAGGGAGACAGGAAAACAGAGAGTAGAAGGGAGACAGGAAAATAGAGAATAGAAAGGTGACAGGAAAACAGAGAGTAGAAAGGTGACAAGAATATAGAGAGGAGAAGTGAGACATGAAAATAGAGAGTAGAAAGGTGACAGGAAAACAGAATAGAAGGGAGACAGGAAAATAGAGAGGAGAAGGTAGACAGGAAAATAGAGGATAGAAGGGTGACAGGAAAATAGAGAGTAGAAGGGAGACCGGAAAATAGAGAGGAGAAAGGTGGCAGGAAAATAGAGAGTAGAAGTCTGTAACCCCTTGCATGCTAGTGGCGTCCCGCCTTACTTGGGGTGAAATGCTTAAAAATATCATCTGTGAAGAGAACCTGAAAATGTAATCTATATCTATAATTCTCAAAATGTTTGTGTGTATGTATGTGTGTCTGATTGGATGTTGTTTATGCATTTCCACAGTTCTTATCTGATTTCGATGAAAATTTTTTTTGTTTGATAGATAATTCTTCAGTGTCGGTTTTGAGTGCAAACTGGCTGCAAAAAATGACAACTTTGAAGTTGAAAAATCGAAAAAACTGAATTTTACACTTTGTGCAAAGTTAACCGTCATGTTCCACTTGTATCCATAAAAAAATTACCCTTTAATGTAACCCCCTGCCAAGAGTGTCCCCTACCCGGGAATCTTACTGAAAAAAAAAGAAGAAAAGTTGAAGATCACGCTAGAGATTGGGCTCGATGAGAGACATATGTAACGGAAATGCTGAGAATAGCCGTTTCCTTATAAGTAAACTTCCGGCATTCATTCACAGAACAGTTAGCCCGTTTACATTGTTGTAACATACCTACGGACGATAGTGGGTATGTTTTCATTCACATAAAAAACAGTAGTAAATACTGTATGATGGTCTGCAGTTGGAGATTCATCTCCAGCTGTGCTGATCAAACTCTCTGCCTCCGTGCAGAGAGGATCCCCAGACGAGGTTATGTCAAAGGGCAGAGTCTCGTCTCGGAGACAGCTACCCTATCCCGTTTTAGACGGGGTCAAGAGTGAATTTTGGGCCGAGCCTACGGGCTCGGATACCCCACATTAAATTCGGCCTTGTGACTACAATTGACTACTTCTTCTACGCACCGCTGGCGAATCTTATATGTGTTGTTCTTGTCCTAAGTATTATCGTTCATTACCAACCTTCGTGTAATTATTCTATTCAGTAACATTCCATAGGTTACAATATATATATATATATATATATATATATATATATATATATATATATATATAAGATCTTTCTCGTGAAACAATTTTTCAACGTAATAACTTTAACCTTCTCACCGACGTAACGTGGCTTCCCTCTGTCTTTCTTGCAAATATTTTCATAGCAACTACTCTGTAGATCATTTTTTCTCCAGTACCCTGACTGCATTAATTTAAGCGTGCCACTTAGATTGGCATCTAGACCCCACCAATTTGCTGTTGAAATAGCTAACTGCAATCGTCACTTCTACTCCAACAGTTTTTTCTCTCGCATTTCCCTCCTGTGGAACACCCTTCCGTTTACTTGCTTCCCTGATAACTACAATATTCAAAAATTTAAATGCAATATCAATCGCCATCTTCTATTTTCTTAAATCCCATTTCTCTTTTGACTTTTCCCCCAGTCCTCCCTATACTCAGTCTTATCTTTCACTCCATGTAACCTCCTGTGTACTAGTAGCATTACCGCTTTGCTTGTGGTGAAATGATAGAAACATTTGGCTTCTCGGTCCAGTAAATGTTATAGCTCTTTCTATTACTGATGTAAGTATCCTTCCTAACGTTTGGTTTACAGTAGTGTAGGTTTGGTTTGGTTGGTTTTGTTTTACGACATATCAACACCTCAGTGAGTTATTTAATGCCGACAATATTTTTATTGTTGGTAATACTTTTTTTTATCTATCTATCTATCTATCTATCTATCTATCTATCTATCTATCTATCTATCTATCTCAGTATATATTAGTATGGTTGGGTTTGTTTTACGGCCTATCAGCCTAAATGGGTTATTTAATGCCCACAAGATTTTTATTGCTGGTAATCTATCTATCTATCTATCTATCTATCTATCTATCTATCTATCTATCTATTTCAGTATATACTAGTTTGGTTTGTTTTGTTTTACGGCATATCAACCTCAATGGGTTATTTAATGCCGACAAAATTTTTGTTGCTGGTAATATTTTGTTTTGTCAAGAATCTATTTCTGGTAATAATTTTTTCCCCAAAAAATTATTGCTGGTATTTTTCCTGTATAACTGGTAATATTTTTTCAAAAATATGTTGCTGGTAATATTTTTTCTTCAAAAATTTATTGCTGGAAATAATTTTTTACAAAGTATTTGTGGTATTAACACCTATTTTCATAGTGTTTTTACCCCAGTTTCGGTGTTAACTATTTGCTCATAGCTGGGACCCTAACAGGACGGACCTGGGAACACCAGCAATTAAGACGCGGATGTAGTTTATCGTCTTACCCAGGACGCGGATGTAGTTTATCGTCTTACCCAGGACGCGGATATAGTTTATCGTCTTACCCAAGACGCGGATGTAGTTTATCGTCTTACCCAGGACGCGGATGTAGTTTATCGTCTTACCCAAGACGCGGGTGTAGTTTATCGTCTTTCCCTGGACGCGGATATAGTTTATCGTCTTACCCAAGACGCGGATATAGTTTATCGTCTTACACAGGACGCGGGTGTAGTTTATCGTCTTTCCCTGGACGCGGATATAGTTATCGTCTTACCGGACGCGGATGTAGTTTATCTTCATGTCCAGGACGGACAGTAGTGTAAGACGTCAACAACTTTATTATGTCATTATTTTCTCCTTGAATGTGCTATTCATTTTAGTTGTCGCAGCTGTTGAAAGTATTCAAGTGATCTAGGGTCTGAATTTTCCTAAATTTCTTTGTAATTGTATATAGCCAGTCTGTAAGATCTGCTGGTGAATTCTTTTCCTTAAGACCCAGGGGATTCATTCGCTGACATCCATTTTATTAATCGATCTTAAAAAAGCTGTTGTATACGGCTGACATTTTAGACATTACTGAACGAGTTCAGCACCATCCAGGACATTCATCAAGCAAGGCCGGATAGTGTCTTATAAGCGCAAATCCTTCCCAGATTCTCGAAAATTCATATCTGCTCAGTTTCGTATCCGAACGTAAACAAAGCAATTTGTAAAGATGTAATGGATTTTCTTTTTATTTGCTTCTTTATTGCATTGTTTACGTTCGGATACCAAACTGAGCAAATATTAACTTTCGAGAATCTAAGACGGAATTGAGCTCACAAGGCAATTTATGACCCTGTTTGATCGCCAAGACACTTCGTGGTTGAGTCGATCTAAAGTACATCCGATCTAACGATGGTTGCTTTCGGATTAATAAATAAAAATCCTTTACGTCTTTAGAAACATATATATATATATATATATATATATATATATATATATATATATATATATATGTTGGCATCCACAGACAGACTGTTTTGCTGTATCACAGCTCATCAGTGTGGCTAGACCTTCGGTTGTTTCTAGCTAGAATTGGCGTCAGTCGGGGATTCGACCATTAAGCTGTTGGCGCACGGCACAGATGAATGTGAATTCAAGCCTATTTATTGTTAGATAAACACACAGTGACTGAGAGAACTCGATTAGAATTACCGAAGAGTCTTGCATTATTAGCAGTAATAGTCACTGTTTACAAACCCACACTTCCTCCCCCAGAGAGCTTAACCAAAATAAATTTTTCAGGAGCATATATATTGTCATCCACAGACAGACTGTTTCGCTGTATCACAGCTCATCAGTGTGGCTAGACGTACGGTCATTTTAAACGCTATTTTTTAGTTTATATCCATACTTCAGTAGACGTTCCGTTTATTTTTTTTAAATAGTATATTTATTGATTTTTGTCTACTGGCTTCAATATTTGTGAAATCTTATATAAGAAAGAGATGTCCCCACCCCTGGTCGTATTCGAACCTGCATTCTCCTTTGCAGGTGAAACTATCGTTAGCTACGTTGCCTATCAAGCAAGGCCGAATAGTGCCTTATAAGCGCAAATACTTCCTAGATTCTCGAAAATTCATATCTTCTCAGTTTCGTATTCGAAATGTAAACTTCAATAAACAAAAAAGTTAGATAGAATGTCAGATTATAAACTACATCTGGCATCAAGGCCTCTGACCGCGAGGTTTTCAGGGAAGGGGAAACACCTCTTAATTGCTATGGTTCCCAGGTCCACCCTGACCCGTGGTGGTAGCACATTTTAGGGTCCCATTTAACACCCCAAACTGTGGTGAAAACACTATGAAAGTATAAAAATAGATATTTATAGTAAAAATACCAGTAATACATTTTTGAAAAAACAAATACCAGCAATACATTTGACTCTCGACAAAAACCCTCTTTACAAAAATACGTTAATGAAATCTGATCTACAAACTGATTTATTACAAAGGTTACATATTCTATTCATACGAACCTATCGTAAAAGTCCCTTTTCAATAAAAGCAAATGGTTCCTGCATTTTCTTTAGCAAATACAAATATATATATATATATATATATTTGCTTATCATACTGTCCACTGGAAATACAAACCTGAATTCATTTTATTACATGGAGGACTGCATGCTTATCCGAAGATACAGGAATCTACTAGTCTCCGCGTATTCCTACAAGAACAGAAAAGATTTTCTAACGAACTGTATATATGAAAAATCTTTCCATCAGAATCAAATTTATAAAAAATTTTAAGAATACGTTTTTAAAGCGTCGCCTATTTGACGACAACGTGACCACGCTCAAACAGAAAGCTGATCATTTAAAATTTTAATTTATCTGTTTTGGATAAGACTTGTTTTTATGTCCATCGTTTTCGTCGTGCTATACTGATTATGTTAATTGTATTTTTAATGAATATTGTCCTGAAGAAGGTTATTAAACCGAAACGTCAGACGTCGACATTTCATTTATATTAAAACAACATAATCGCATTTTAAGGATTTTTGTTTTGTTTTTCCAGATATTTTCTTCATTCTGTCGGATTTATATCCATTTATATTTGCTTATTATATATATATATATATATATATATATATATATATATATATATATATATATATATATATATATATATGTTGTGGTAGGATCCACCTAATTTGCATAGTGGAGTACCGATCATATAAATATGGTTGGTACCGGGAAGAGAGGGAGGAATCAAGAGATTCACTCTCAGTCGAACTCTGCATTTTGCAGTGAGGGACCCGGACGAGGCTTTGCCGAGAGGCAGGGTTTCGTCCGGGGTGGTAGACA